GGGATCGGAATGGTGGTTAGAGGGAAAGGCCCGACCCATGCAACGGCGATGGGGAGCCGCGCATTCGGGAGCACGAAATCCAGCCAGTCAGGGGCGCACCGGCACGCAGGGAGGTGCGCTCCTCCTCCAGGGAGGACACCTCGCTTCGGAGCTGCTCCACGGTGTCGCTCAGCAGCGAAACGGTCTCCTGACTGAGAGCCAACTCGGCGCGCAGGCCATATGTCACCAGGTGCGCGGAGTCCAGCTGCTGCTGGGAGGCTGCGCCGGGATGCGACACATGGCGGAGGTGCCCAGAGAGGTCAGTCGAGGGCAGCGCCGGGCGCGGGGCAAACCGAGGCGGAGAGAGGCGCAGGGCGACTGCCAACACAAGGGCAAGGCAAAATAGGCAGGGGTGCGCGGCGGGGGAGGGGGGGGGGGAGAACGAACGGGCCAGCGCCTCGCGCGACTGGGCGGTCACCGCCTCGGCGGCAGCGCGCGAAGTGACGGCCGCCTGGAGCTGCCCCTGGACCAGGGACAGCTGGCTGCGCAGGGTGTGCAGCTCGGCCTGGAGCTCGCGCAGGGACTCGTCCGAGGCGGCACGACTGACGCGGAGCTGCTCCGCATGCTCGAATTCCAGCTTCTTCCGGAGGGCCTCGGCATCGGTCTTGGCCTGGGCCTGGGCTTCACGCTGGCGGGCAGCCACGGCCGCACGCAGCCCGGCCGCGCAGGCCTCCGACGTGCAAGGGCCGGCGGTCGTGCCGGCCACGGGAGCCGACCCCCCTGCCGCTGGAGCCCCATCGGTCGTACCCCCGGGCATCATGGCCGGGGCTTGGACCGGCGTGCCCAGCAGCAGGGCGCCCGCCCCGGCGAGGACATTCTCCACAATCTGTCCGTCCTGTAGAAGCACTGTCGGAGCGCACAAGTATGCGCGAGAGCATGCAAGGGAGCATGTAAGGGAGCATGTAAGGGAGCATGTAAGGGAGCATGTAAGGGAGCATGTAAGGGACATGTAAGGGAGCATGTGAGGAACAGGTAGGGAGCACTTATGCAGCATGTAGGGAGCACTTATGCAGCATGTAAGGAGCATATGTGCAGCACGGGAGAGACATGTGCATGTGCAGCACGGGCAACCGGCGGCAGGAGAAGGGGCGGAGAAAGGAGGAACCAAGGCACACGCACGGAAGGCCTGCAGGATGCTCTTCTGCTCGATGAGGTCGGTGACGGGCTCGCCCTCGTGCGTGTGCGCCGCCGGATCGGCGCCGGCCAGCAGCAGGGTGCAGATGGTGCTCAGGTCGCCGGAGTGAGCGGCCGCATGCAGCGGCGTCCAGCCATACCGATCGGAGCTGTTGATGTCGGCCCCGACCAGCACCAGCAGGGCGCACACATCGGCGCGGCCACTCCAGGCGGCATTGTGCAGGGCCGAGATGCCGGCCGTGTTGGGCTCATTGACGGAGATCGAGGCCCCGGCCGGGGTGGGCCCGGCACCGGACCCCGGCAGGTCGCCCAGTGGCAGGTCCCCGCCGGCCAGCTGCTGCCGCAGGGTGTCCGGGCTGGGGACCGCCGGCAGATCGTCCTCATTGAGGCCGGCCTCGTGCAGGGCCGCGCGCAGGGCCCCGAAAAAGCGAAATGGCCCGCACAGGAGCGACCCGCACCAGGAGCCGGGGGGCTGGGTGGCCGCCGCGCGGCCGGGGGGCGTCCAGCAGCCAGCCGAGCAGGGCGCGGCCGCCAGGCGCGCGGCACCCTCGGCCGCCAGACCCGCCGGCAGGGCGGCCAGATGCTGCAGCAAGACCGCCACCTCGCCATTGAGGGAGGCATCGACAATGATGTCGCCCTGGGAAAAGCGCACGCGCTTGCGCGCGGCATCCGGCCGGGTGCTGGACCGAGCCGCCGGCTTGCTCAGCACGCCGACCAGCGGCGCAGCAGCCGGGGGGGCCGCCATGGCGACGGTCATGTCGCCGGAGAGGGTGGGGGCCGGGGCAGGGCGGAACCGGATGCAAGCCCTCCGGCGATGACCACTCACAAGGGGAGAAGGGCAGGGGGCGGTGGCGGTGGGGGTGGGG